ACTTGCTCACTTCACGAGGAAGTTCTCTTCCTGGGCCACGTCGTGAGTGGTGACGGGATCCGCCCAAACCCAGCTCTGGTCAGGGATGTACTGCTCTGGGAGTTGCCAACAGCCTGCAGGAGCTGTAATCTTTCCTCAGGCTGTGTAACTACTGCTGCAAGTTTGTTCCAACTTTTGCAGAACTAGCAAGCCCTCTCCACGGCCTGCTAAAGAAGGGAGCTGCATTCCTGTGGACAGATGAGCACCAGATTGCTGTCAAGCAGCTCAAGGAAAGGCTAACAACTACACCAGTGGTGGGGTACCCCACTGTTGGAGGAGAAGTACATTCTCGACACTGATGCTTCAAGCCACAGTATTGGAGCTGTTCTGTCACAACTCCAGTGGGGAGAAGAGCAAGTTCTAACATATGCCACCAACCATCTCACACCAGCTCAGCAGAGATACTGTGTCACCACACGTGAGTTACTGGCCGTCGTCCACTATACCTGCCAATATGACTTTGACATCAGCCCCGGGCAGGACATCAACACCGGGCAGGGCGCCAACACTTCAATGCTGACACCATGTCAAGACGAACCAAAGAACATTCAAACTAGAATTACAACCTTCCGGCTGTATGTCTCTGCCACTCAGACTAATTTCACGTTACCTCCCTGTTTATCCAGAATTATATAAGATATTAATCATTTGTGTTAAATTTATCATAATATCATATCATAAATGCTGTGTGAAGTCTTGAGTAATGGCTTGAGTCCAAATTAATGTTTGTACCATATTTGAAGAAATGTCCTCAAGGTTGTACAGAGATATTGCGTTCACAAGGCCATTACTGTGATTTGTGAGGTCACCACGCCCTTGACTTTTGACCTTTGACCCCAAAAATCTAATCAGTTCATCCTTGAGTCCTAGTGAAGTTCTGTCAAGGTCAGATATTGTGTCCACAAGAATAGGATGGATGGACAGACAACCCAACAATATGTCTCCAGCTCTGGCTGTCACCAGTGTGGAGACATAACAAATGTGACTGTTACCAAGCTGGAAAGACTTTTCCACTAAATAAGCAAAAGTCTATCTGTGTGATGTCATGACAGTAGCAGAAATAAGGCATAAAGCTCTTAAACTATTTAATCAGTTGGCATCAACAGTCACAGTAGTTAGCTGTCAGCCGAACTGCAGCGGCAACTCCAAACTCCCAGGGTGTATGGGAGTAGGTATCTGTTGGGGGGGGGGTCGAGTGAACAGGTGAACAATCTCAGCGGCTACAGGACGGCATGTCAGTCACCACCTGCGCTGCTTAAAGGATAGTTTCACATTACTTCAAGTCTGTCTTTACGCACATTAAAAGAGTTGTTGGTATCACTCTTGAAGCTTGGTACAGAATGCTGTGGATTTTGTCCCCCATCTTTTACACTGAAATCCCTGTTTTCTATAATAATTCAGAACATACACGCACGGCCATGTGAGTGAACCAAACATTTAAAGCAGTGGGTGACTGTGGGAGACCTCATTGGAACAGAGCTGCAAGACATCTGGACCGAAGTCCATTTAAAAACTGCTCATTAACCTTTTCAGCTGCATTCACTTGAGTAAAAGCTGAATAAGCAGCTACTTTACAACACGAGAAACACAAAACACACAAAACAACGGACAGCCATTAACATGTGACCAAAACTCAACCCACAGCATGTGATCATATGATGAAATCCTTATTTCATCAGTCTGTTCCTTCGCAGTGAGACAATTAAGGTTCTTCCAGTCTTGCCACTACAATATACGACAGAGTATTAGGACCACATTGAGGGGAAAAAAATCTGAAATTTCAAGAATAAAGTCGTAATATTATGAGAATAAAGTGGTAATTTTAGGTTCCGTTTTGTTTTAGAGGGGGAATATCAGAAGCTTTAAAATGAGGAATGTGGAGCATCCTGTGAAGTTATACTGCAGCAGAAGTTTCAGGAGATACTTCATCTTTTGTCGCATCAGTATCACATGATCATCAACGTCAGTACATTAAAAAGACTGTGCAAGAAACAGAGTCTATTCTATTTTTAGACAGACAAACAACAGCTACCAGATGCAGTCCTTTCACCTGTTTTATTGGTTGTTTGTAATATTCCTAAAAAAAATGTTTTTACTCTCAAAATTTTACATTTTTGATTCTCTTTTGGTTCATCTTTATTGTCTATTTTATTATTATTATTTCTTGAAATATTACGATTTAATTCTCGAAATTTCAGATTTCTTTTTTTTCCTCAATGTGGCCTACACACGTTGCCATAATAAGACCAACTCTTAAAATACTGAATTTGTTAACCATTACATTAGGTACCGTCCACACCATAATGGGTGAACCATGAAACAACCCAAATCATAACCATATCTGTGTTGGTGTCCAGTAACATCTGTGTAATATGAGATTAATGAGAAACTAAACTGTATTATTGTAGAACATATTTCACTCATGTCAACTAGACTATAAAAACTGTACCTCATTTCATTGGACTGATTTCTACTATAATCATGTTAGTGTTTTCATGGTAGTAAATACAGTAACAGTAGCCACTGTGACTCCTTCTGTCCTCAGTTTAAAGGAGCTGGAGTCTTCTCCTCTGAGTCAATGTAAACTGCAGACGTTGCTGTTCTCCCTGACGGCTAAGTCACACGTGTTGGCTCTGCTCCAGGACACCAGGGCGCCTTCTGAGGTAACACCACACTGCTGCTGACACATGTGATTTAATATCTAACACACTCATTTCTATTTTATTACTAGTGACTGTCTGTGTGAATACCTGTGTTACATTTATTGTGTGTGAACTCTGCAGGTGAAGGACGAAACTCACCTTGTGATCCTGAGTAAAGAGGAGGGATCAGGACTTGGTTTCAGTGTTGCAGGTGGAGTTGACCTGGAGCAGAAGACAATAACTGTGAGTACAGTAGGTAAATGCTCACAAACCTGCATGGAGTGTGTAAAGAAACTTTTTTTTTTTAATTCATTGTGTTTCAGTCAGGCTTTTGCTATGTGTTTACTGCACATGTTCATATCGCGATCACGATGAAATTACAATTTATCGGTCTGCACTAGTGCACACTTATAAATACCTAGGTGTGCACCTGGACAGTAAACTGGACTGGTACCTGAACACAGATGCCATCTACCTGAAGAGGCAGAGCCGGCTCTTTATCTTCAGGAGGCTCAGGTCCTTTGACGTCTGCAGTGAAATGCTGCACATGTTTTATCAGTTTCTTAAAGTGATTTTGCAAAGAGGAAATGGTGATTGAGATTCTACATTTCTTATAGCAATGACATGGATTTCATGACAGAGTTTCAATGTTATAATTCTTCAGATGAAGCTCATGCTTGACAGCAATACATGTAGACTCTACAGAGATAGACTGACTATGACTGACTATGATTTTATGATAAACATAATTAAAGAATGAATGATAAAGAAGAAAGAACATAGAGGTTGGTGATGTTTTAACAGCTCTTGGCAGCAGGTGGTGATACTGTAACACTTTGTGTCCAGGTCCATCGGGTCTTCACCAAAGGTGCAGCGAGCCTCGAAGGCACAATCCAGAGAGGAGACAGCATTTTATCCATAAATGGAACGAGTCTAGAGGGAAAAACCCACGGAGAGGCCGTGTCCTGCCTCCATCAGGCCAGACTGTCCAACCAGGCCTTAGTCGTCATTAGGAGAGACAAGGACGGCGGACCAAGTGTCTCTGACAGACAGGACCTGGTCAGCCAGCTGAAGAGTTTACGTTCTGCCAGGAAGACCCCTATGGAAGCTGGAGCAGGTGAGACCTGGTCTTACATCTATAGGTTCACCTGCTGGTCTTCATTATGGTGAAGTCGGTCATTCTCCACAGCAACATGTTTAATGCTTTAACCTTAATTACCTTTACCTTTCTCCTTTAACATGAACCTGTTCTGTAACGTTGCGGTTGTATACTTCATAAACTACATACTGTATGTTGAGATTATAACTCTGGCGTTGAATGTCTCTCAGTGGTGGATGTCGGTCCAGATTGTGCTTTAACGGTGGAGCTCCACAAGACTTCTGCTGGGCTGGGCTTCAGTCTGGAGGGGGGGAAGTCCTCAAGCCACGGAGACCGGCCTCTACTTGTCAAACGCATCTTTGAAGGTGACCATTGCTCTATATGTCTCTCTGTGTGTTTTACCTCCATCTGGATTGTGGATCACTTTATCTAATGAGGTGGAATTCAGTCTGGATGTTGTTTTATAGAAGCCATAAATGTAACATAGTTCATCTATAGTTAATGACCAGATGTTAGAAGGCCTCCCTTTAAGAGAATAAAATACATCAAATTACAGAGAAGAAAACTGAAAAGAAGAGAGAGTTAGTTAATTAGTCAAATCAATACGAACATGACAGGCATTAACAATCATCATTAATAATGTTCCTATGTCTAAAAAAGTTGGGAAGCAGAAACATCAGCAGTACAAAGAATATACAGAACTAGAAAATTCCTGAAGAAATATGAATGTGTCTGCTGCTTGGTGCGTATCCATCACACACGTTTCAATCACTACAGAGGACGTTACTTTGAGTTTCATTCATGTTGTAGAGAATTATCCTAACTCTGACCTCAGTCACTGCAGGTGTCCATCAAAAAGCTCTTGAGCTCTTGAGTGACCTCACAATGATGGTTCGGGACCTAAATTTGTCCCTGCAATATAGCAAGACATGTCTACACACAGGCGGCACGGTGGTGCAGTGGTTAGCGCTGTCGCCTCACAGCAAGAAGGTTCCGGGTTAGAGTCCCGGCTCGGACACGGGGTCTTTCTGTGTGGAGTTTGCATGTTCTCCCCGTGCCTGTGTGGGTTCTCTCAGGGTACTCCAGGGATATCGGCTTCCTCCAGCAGTCAAAGCCATGCAAATAGGGACTAGGCTGATTGGATACCACTAAATTGACCATAGGTGTGAGTGTGAGAATGAATGGTTGTCTGTCTCTGTGTGTTTGCCTGCGATGGACTGGCGACCTGTCCAGGGTGTACCCCCCTCTCGCCGAAAGGGTGCTGGGAGAGGCTCCAGCTCCCCGCGACCCTACTAGAGGATAAGCGGTAGAAATGAATGAATGAATGAATGTCTACACACTGTACATGCTAACAGAAGCTGATCTGCAACTAGAAAATGCATTTCCTGCTGAAATGCATGTGATGCTGAGAGCTTAAAAGCAGAACTTGTAATCTGGAGGTTGAGCGCTTTGAAAAACTACGATGCCAAAATGTTAAACTGAAGGAGCTGAAGTTCCTTCGCTGCAAAAGCTGAGAACTGAAACATGTTTAAAGCCAAATCATTTACTGTAAAAGGTGGAAGTAGGAATAAAATGCCTTACAACTGTTGAATGAAATCATTTGTATTAGTAAAAGAAATATGAACTGCATCCTAAACATTAGAAAAAGTAATTTCTTTTAAGAGTTACACTACACAGGAATTGGTCTCAGTTGTGAAGTTTGTAAATACAGAACAATTGACCTGTTAGTAGCACCTAATGGAAACCTAACGATGAAGAGCTGATGTTACATCACATGTTTGACCTGCATTCAGTTCATGATTTGTCAAACTGTCAAGATTTGGATCACTCTTTTTCCACAGCTTGATGAGCTCTTACAGTTTTATGTCACATGATCTTTCTGGTCAGTCATGGTCGAGGTGTTTCATGTGCACAGATCAGCAGTGTGCTGGGTCGCTCACAGAGTTTAAACTCTGACCGTCTGCTGAACACTGTGAAGTTTCTGTCAAAACAACAGGAGGCATCCTCCCATCCTCACACTGGTTCCCCAAAGATAATCAACAAACAAAAGTTTCCATGGAAACAGTAGAATTTTACTGCTGTAAAATCTCTTTCACTGCTGTAAATAACTTTTCTTAATTAAGCCTTAAATGAGATTTTGTGCACACCTTAAGTGACTCCTTGCGTAAGGGGAATTTAAAACCTTTATTGTTATACTAAAGTAGAAACATTAAGGTGCCTTGTGCAACCGGCCCCTGGACCTCAGGCTCCACTATTGTTCTGGGTCCTTTTCTCGTGTAACACTATTTAGTTTAAACAACACATGCAGACACAAACTAAACCAAAATATTTTAGGCATGAGGATCATTCATCATCCATCACAGTCTCAGTGACAGAACAGCATCTACTCTCCAAAAGACTTACAGAATGGACAACACACCAACGTGTCAAAATGGCTGTGACATGACGACAGTCTGATTTACATGTACATAGTCAACTGTGAAGGCTGCAGTGGAAAAAATAAAATGATAACCAGAGCTTTTATAACACAGTTGCTCTCCTCTGTAGTTTGCCCTGTGTGGTTTTCAAAATATCAAAATCAAGTTGACTGTATCTCAAGTGTATCTTTAAGTGTGGATGAACTGCTGTTCTCCTCTACACAGGAGGTGCTGCTGAGCTGTCGGGGCTCATTGAAGTCGGCGATGAGGTCCTCTCCATCAACGGCTGCTCTCTAGAGGGTCTCATGCACCACGATGCCTGGAAAATCATCAAAGCCACTAACAAAGGGCCAACACCCTCCTCATCCGCAAGCTGAACACCTGACTGTAGGGAACCTCCTGAGGGGGGGCCTGTGAAACTGCCTCTAAACTAGGGTTTGGACAAACAACAGAAACGAGGACGAGCAGGTTTTTTTTTTTTTTTTTTTACAGGTTTTCTGATGGACTTTATTTGATTTGTGTTTTGTCTGTTTTCATGTGTTTTGATATAAATAGGTCAAAGAGGATGGAGCACTAACTTTTGTGGTGTTCAGAGCTGAATCTATTTCAGACAGGAAGTGCAGTTTGTTTACATTAGATTCACTTTGGAACGTTTTAAAATAAAGTCAGTTTTGAAATGATCTCTGGTGGGTGTGGTTCTGGTCTCCATGGTAACAGTTGTTAATAAGCACAAATGGGAGAAATCGGTATAATTAAATCCTAGTAACTGGCCAGAACCAAGCTGGGTCTGGTAGGGGCTGTTGTATTGGGGGAGATAAAAGGTATCAAACATGAAAGAATTCACCATCAAAACGTTTCTGTAATTTTTTATGCCTTCACAGCGGCGATGGCCAGAGTGCAGGCATACTTGTTTCAGGTTGTACAGCCGTACGTCTCATTCTCGGGGACACAATATCAGTCAACACCTTAATGGAACTTAAAATTTGGCACAAACATTCAATTGGACTCACGGAGGAACTGGTTACATTTGGTGGTCAAGTGTCAAGGTCATGATGACCTCTTCAGTGTGAATACCACAATTTTGAATTTGCCTTCGTTGAAAGGGCACCAGTCCTCAGGGAGGCAACTTTATTGAATCTATTGATTAATTTGATCAATCTCGCAACAAAAGCAGTGATTTCTTGATGACATTGATCTTCGATCTCCGCTTCAAGGAAACACACACAGGTTAACGATGGGTCAAGTTAATAAGATTTATTAACTCACTATGGACAGGTGCAATGACATGAATAATGAAGATAAAAAAATGAAACTGATCAAACAATATCAGGGGTGTGTGTAGTGGGCTTGACATTTGCCACAGTTAGACTTTTCCCTCTCTTTTCTTTGTTTCAATTGTGAGAGAGAGAAATATAATTTTAATTTTGTTATATTTAATTTGGTTTTATGCGGTTTGTGTATCCTACTCCACCATGGCCTATTCATATTTAACACAGCCTACGTGAACTACATAGCTATTACTAGGAATGGATAAATGGAACAACGATATTATAATAGGTTAATGGCACACATAGACTACACTGCAACAGAGCGATAACAATTCCTAATCACACAAATAAATGGCTAAAGACATGACATCCATCAAATAATAATAATAAGTGATGCACCAGATTGTTTCATTCCCTAGAAGGATAATGGATCCAGAATGGTCCCTAACATGGCAGTATGTCACGTGTGGATATTTACCTCAGAACTGATCAGACATATCTCAGCTTCCTTTTGAGCTACAGAAATGAATTTTGGACTATAATTCATGGGAATCTTTCCAGAATAATGATAAAGAATTACATGGTGTGAGCACATTTAGTCCAATGATACTTTAAACACACTTTAATAATGTGAACATTGGTTGTCAGTTCAGGTTGGAATGTCGGGTGGTTTCTGGCAGGAGCCTCATGGTTGAACATGGACTCAGTGTCACTCTGGGGGTGTATGTTGTGTGTGTATCCCATTTGCTGTAGGGCGTTGATTCAGATGAGTTCATGAACTAGTTGTAAATTTCACTGACATGGGAGGCTTTTCTTGATAATCAGAGCAACCCAGTGTCCTTACCGTCACCTTGTATCCTCATACGGCGCCAATCAGTGTCTGCACACATCACAAAATGCAGGTTTGGCCTTGTGAACGCAATATCTCCGTAACTCTTCAAGGTAATTTCTTAAAATTTGGTTTCACTGGACTCAAGGACAAACTGATTACATGGCTAAAGGGCAAAGGTAAAGCCAAGGTCACAGTGACCTTACAGAACATGATTTTGGCCTTGTGAAACAATACCTTGAAAACTCCTCAAGAGAATACCTTCAAATTTCAAAAATGTCTACTTGGACTAATGGATGAATCAATTAGATTTTGGTGGTCAAAGATCAAAGGTTATGGTCAGTAGACCTCACAAAACACTTTTCAGCCATTACTCAAGACTTCACACAGCAATTATGAAAATTTCACACAAATGGTTTATACTTCTATGACTCTGGATAAACAGGGATGTCATTCGAAACTAGGCTGAGTGGCGGAGGCAGACAACCACAAGGCGGTAATTCTAGTTCATAATGTCATGTTTCAATCAGAAAAGGTTCATAATTATTTCATTAATTGAACTGTGAAATACATAAACTGTGGTAAGTTTTAAAGACAATAACTTTAACATAAAATGATTCTAAATATATGAACTGTACATGGAAACTTTTTGGTTTTTGATTGACTGATGAGTAATGTATGGAAGCCTGTAGGGGCTATATTCAAATGAAAATGTTAAAATGTAATTCCATATTAGCATTATAAAATGTTCACATATGTTTGTGCTATTTGAGTAAAATTTAAAAGAAAATGCAATAATCCAGTTTGCTTTTAATACAAAGAGTTTCTACTTTTCACAGAGGATGATTTTT